CATGGTAGGGCTACCAGCGAACCAGAAAGAAATATGAAAAAGTGGAACAATGTTGAAAGTAGTGTTGAATTTTTGAAATATATATATATATATATATATATATATATATATATATATATATATATATATATATATATATATATTTCAAATATATTTATATAGTGCTATTGTGCTATTATAGTGCTATTGTCAGAGCCTAAAATTACATGTATTAATTACTTAATTTAAATATTGAATTATATGAAATATTTCATATAATTCAATATTTAAATTAAATAATTTGGAATATAGTTTCATCTCTAATGGGTAAAAAAAAGTTGGATGCATCACCGATGGTTCCCATCTCGGCACAAGATTTTCTGCAGTACATCCTTGCAAAATCATCGGCAATGTCGGATTTAATTTCAGATGAACCGGAGTATCAACGAACAGATTGCCATTTTGATCATTTCGATGTGGTCACGGGCGAGGAATTAAAATCAATCATATCATCCTCGCCCTCAAAATCATGTTCTCTTGATCCAGTCTCTACGTTCATTTTGAAAGAGCTTCTAGAGAATCTGCTCCCTTTTTTGCAGCAGTTGGTCAACAAAAGCATAACATCATCAACACTTATAATAAAACTTCCATTAAGTTTGCTTTGTCTTGCCATTTTATCAATAACTTTACGTAATATACATTGGTTTTATTTATTTATTTACTCTACTAAATATTCTAATAAGTATCTAGTCATAATTTATAAATCTTTATCTATGGATAATTCTAATTATGTATCACTTAAACTCACAAGGTTACAACATATCTATTTTTCCACTTAATAAATGTAACTTTACCTTTCACATCTAACTTTATTTTATTTTGTAATCGAACTTACAATGTTACCTCCTAATTTAACTTTATTAATTTAATTTTATTATATTCCACGTTAATTTTAATGATATCGTGTTAATGTAAACCTCTTCCCTTTAACACAAAATACTATTTTAGGCTATGAAGATGGCGCCCACGCTGAAACAACGTTGTAAGCTTGATTATGACACATTTACTGAATAAATATGAATTGAACCAATTAAGAGTTGTTGAATGTATTATAAAAAAGTTGATTAACGCAAAATGGGCAAAAACATTTAATGAAGTTTTTATCACTGCAAACCTCTTTCCAAAATAAATAAATAAATATATATATATATAAATATATATACATGGTCACTAAAAATTTAGAGAAATGACTTTATTGCTGAGTTCTAGGGGTATACCATTGGGCCTGAAGAGTAAGGTATATAAAGCACAGGTAAGAAGTTGCCTGTTGTATGGATGCGAAACTTGGGCTATGATGGTTGAAATCTTAAGAAAGCTGGAGAAAACAGAAATGTAGATGTTGAAAAGAATAATGGGAGTATCATTGAGGAATGGTCAAAGTGATGAGATAATAAAGAAAGAGTTAGGTGTAGATGAGTTGTCAGATGTAATTAGAAACTGAGATGATTCGGCCATGTGGAAAGGAAAACAAATAAGGACTGGGTAAAGAAATGTAAAATTATTATAATTGGCGGTTTAAGGAAAAGTGGAAGATCGCCTGGGAAGAAGTGTTAAATGTGCCTGATCATGCGACAAGACCAAACTCAGGAACGAACACTGGGCGGTTCTGTCTATATGCGTAAGCTGTACCAGAATTCGGCTCCACTCAAAATTTGGCCAGTTTTTAAAATACAGCCCAGACCAAAAATTGGGCCAGATTTCTGATTTGTGCCGGACTTTTGTTTTAAAACTCTCACCTTAGTTTGGATATTTATTTTTTGTATGTATCTCTATTTTGTTTATATTTATATATAATGTATGCAGCACGCACCACATACTTAGAATACCTATACAGGCCCTCAAACGCACCCGCGCACATTTTCAGTGCGTTTTATTGTCTGGTTTCATTCTTTAGTTTCAATTAATTTATTCATCAAACTCATCAAATTTTACAATTTTTACATTTTTATAGTTTATTAATAAATATGTATTCATTTTTTAAAGATTTTATTCATTTTAATTATTAAGTTATTTGTGCATATTAAATATCTTTTTTCTGGTGTACGTATGGCCGAGCTGATTTGAGATCGCGTGCCTGACAGGCCTTCCCTGGCACGTACACGTATGCACAGCACATTCGTTTGTGAAAATGTATTAAGTGCATATTAATAATTTTAAATATTGAATAATGCTAAATAATGTGATGCGAGAAATATTACGATAGTATCGCTTAATTAACGATGTCATTGTTAAAACAAATACCAATTTGTACTAACTCATTTCTAAAGTGATCACCATATTCAACTGTTCCAATCTTCATATTTTGATCAAAATGATTAAACTGTTGTCTATCATTTTGGAAACTGGTCAGTTTGGTTGAAGGCGTGCATGGCTCAACGTTATTTTGCAACACTTTATCACTTGTGGTAATTTTATGTATGTTGTTCATAAGTTCGTTGTTCAACTTTTTATTTTTGTTTTTCATGTTGTTTTTGAAGTGATTTTTAATGATAAAATCACTGTTACTTGGACAGTTGCTTATTTGATGTTGATCTTGAAACGGAGAAAGTTTTCCATCTGTTTGTTTATTGTTAATTCTGTTTGCAATATTGTGCTGCTTGGTAATATACTTACGTTGAAAATGTTGCACAAAATTTTGTTTCTTGGCAGGTTTGTTTATATTTTTGCAGTTGTGTATTGACGTTTCAGTGGACATTGTTGTAGTAGGATGACATTTGATTCTAATCACGCTTGATTTGGATGGAGACAACGGAGATTTTGACATTTCATTGGACGTATAAAATGGTGATAATAAATTTCCTTGGATGAAACAGAGTGCATCTGATGCTTGTGAGTTGTTAACTAGCTTTCTATCTAGCTCAAGTACATTCATTTTATTTGCATATAAATTAGAATTAGAATTAACATTGTTATATTTTTTAAGGTCTGTTTGAGCAACGTCAAATTCTTCATTATTCCTAAGATCATTTGTGGTAATAAAATTTTCTTGAAGTTGTTTAGGATCAAAGTTGTTGTTAAATAAGTTTCTGCTCTGCCGCACATTGTTTTTATCCAAAGAAAGGATGTTATCAAACTCAACATTACACTTGCCAAGATCTTCATCAATATAAGCAATGTTGTTCTTATTTGATTGTAGATTAAATGATTGCTGGTGTTGGATGTGCAACATGCTTTGCAGCGACCGTGTGATCACGTCCCTGTTTTGATGGAATGAATAAAATCAATTCAAAATAAAATAAAGTAACACTAACCTTGGTACCTATGCGCCAAAGATACAAAAGAAACAATGTTTTTTTCGTTTATAATTGAGACATCATTAAACTGAACATAAAAATATATTTATTTAGATTTCAAGTCAATCAATCAATCAATCTCCGTATAGCGTGCAGAGACACAGTTCCCCGGAGGTAGGACGTATTTAGATTTCAAGTATCCGTGAAAAAACTATAAGGGCCTATTTTTAAGGATCAATCAATCTTCGTTTAACGTTCAGAGACCCAGTTCCCCGAGGTAGGACATTGTTTTCTTTGCCATAAACTTTATGCGCCAAATTAGACGATCAGTTGTATCCAATTCATTTAAATTTAGATTGTTTGAAGCTTTTTTGGACGGCCTTTGGGACGTGTGCCAGGTACTTAAACATCTGCAAGAGAAGTTATGACACTGTTTCCCCTTCGTTTGACATGACCAAACCACCGCAGACGGTGTTGCAGGCATTCGTCCTTTATATCATCTAAACCAGGATTTGATATGGTCCTTCAGACAAATTCGTTGCATCCATCGTAGCATTTTTATGTCGGTTCGTTGAAGTTGTTCCAGTTTGGTTGTCATTGGCCATGTTTCTGCACTATATAACAACACCGGACGTATCACAGATTTATAAAGTTTGGATCATAGTGGAAGTGGGATGTCACGCCGCATCAATATAGAGGCAAGGAGATGCCATTTATTCCAGGCTGCACGTATGTGTGGTCGAACGGCAGCTTCAGCTGTTCCAGTACAATACAGAACATCTCTTAGATATTGAAACAATGTGACTTTCTCTACCTTAATGGCTTCAAAAACATTGCTATTTCGAATTTGTTGTTGTGAATTAATGCAACCAGGACAAACAAAATTGGACACTCTAGATAAAGTACCAATTATTTTTGAACAACGTTTGTGACACCACTGGTTACACTCCTGACACTTGATTGAATTGTTACCTACACCAGCTTTACAAACTGAACAGGGCCATCGTCCGGTACCTGTAGATTGGATGGGTTCACCAGTGTTCATTGCTTTGGTTTTGCTGATATTGACTTTGAATCCATGATTGGCGAGTCTGGTGTTCCAATCTTCAAACATCTGTGCTGCATTCTGCTCAGACGTGGCTGTTAAAACGATATCATCAGCATATACTAGATTTCAGATGACACCAGTGCGTATCGGTTTTGTGATTTCTTCCATCACAGTTATAAATAACAGTGGACTGAGAATCGAGCCTTGGTAAATTCCATCGCCGATGTCAAATGCATCTGTGTTTCCAACCATAGTGCTGACGAGAGTCTTAGTATTCGTATACATTTCTATCACAAGTCGAACAAGATATCCAGGAATTAGTTGTCGACGTAGACTCCACCTGATTGCTTCACGGGAAACTCGATCAAATGCTTTTTCAAGGTCTACAAAAATGTGTGATAGTTGTTGATGCTTTGCCAGGTACTTCTCTTGCAGTTGCCGAAGAATGTGAATTGCATCAATTGTTGAATTCCCCGCTAGGAAACCTAATTTATAATTTCCGATTGTGATTCACGACGTTAATCTTCTCTCAATGATTTTCTCGACAATTTTCAGGGAGTGTTCTAACAGACGTATACCCCGATATGATGAACAGTTCAATGGATCACCTTTGCCTTTGTATAACGGAACTTTCATGCTATAGTTCCATTCAGTCGGCATTGAGCAATTTCTCCAGATTTCACGGCAAAGTTGTAGTAATGTTTGGATACCTGCAGTACCAGATGCTTTGATAATGTCATTTGTGAGTCCCGAGGGCTCTGCTGCCTTTCAATCCTTCATAGCTTTCAGAGCTTCTATAAGCTCCTCTACAGTGATGTCTGTAATCGGACCTTCGATGGGTGGAGCGTCAAAGTTAACATTGATGGGATTTGTTTCGTTCAACAGACGGTTGAAGTATTCTCTCTACAGTAGCTTGATCTCATCTTGTTCAAGAACCATCTCATTTTTGTCGTTTTTGATACATGAGGCACCAACTATGTCTTGTTACGTACGCTTTACTTGTTTTGCTATACGATACAGAGATTTGTTCACCTTTGCTTTTAGTGAGCCATTCTCTGCACTGATTTGTCCGAGCCAGAGCGACTTGCCAACTTGACGTCTTGCATAGTTGTTCTTCTCACGGAAAATTTTATGGTTATCAACAGACTTTGATTTTTGCCATTGCTTGTATGAGGCTTTCTTTTCAGCTATTGCATTTTGTACACTGTCATTCCACCACCAAGTGTCCCGTTCATGCTGGCGTTTTGTACCAGTTTTCCCACAAACTGGTTGCAGCGTTTATAAAAACGTTTTTGTATGTACTCCAATCTGTACCGGCTTGCGATTGGTGGTTTAACTGTGTGGCGAAAATCTGTTGAAATTTTTCTCGATGAATATTGCTTTCCAGCTTCCACGTTTTGATTCTCCGAGGCATTTGTTTAGACTTATGTTGTGACAGTTCAACAACCAGGTCTGCCACAAGGAGTCTATGTTGGGCGACACATGATTCGCCAGGTATAACTTTGACATTTTTGAATAGCCTTCGGTGTTGTTGCTTGACAGCAAAGAAACCAATTTGCGTGGCTGATGGTCCACTTTTGTATGTTATGAGATGTTCTAACCTCTTTCTAAAATTTGTGTTCAGTAAACAAAACCCGTGACTTTCAGCAAACTTAAGGATGTGTTTACCATCTTCATTCCGTTCTTCATAGCCAAAACCGCCATGTACGTTGTCAAAACCATCTGTTTTCTCTACAACGTGGCCATTGAGATCGCCTCCAATCAGGATTGTTTCAGATTTTGGTTTTGTTGAAATGATGTCAGAGAACGCAGCCCAGAAGTCATTTTTCATTTCTTCTGATTCGCCTGACTGTGGTGCGTATGCAGAAAAAGTAATCATTGTTTGCTTTTCTAGGCGAAGCTTGATCCACATGAGACGTGAATTAATCCTTTTAATATCCAGTACTTCTTGGGCTAGCGGTTTTTTGACAAAAATTCCAACACCATTTTTGGCCGTCTTTTTACCATTCCAGAATAGTTTATATTTTTCTTTATCTGAGTTGATATGACAGACACCATTCGATTTCTATCAGATCTCGAATGGTGTCAATTTTTAAGGATGATTAAGCAGAGAATGTCTTCCATAAAATATCACAAAAAGTAAATTTTATTTGAATAATACTCGCGCTCACATAAATTTACAAATATCCGTTAAACATTAAATAGACTGTAAATAAACTGAATTAAACAGCCTGCAGTCTTATTCAATATTTTAATTCAAGTGTCACTAAACATATCAATCATAAAAAAATTGTAACTGGTTTTGTATATAAGAAAGAAGTTAATATTTTTATGAAAACTTATTTAGCAACCCTTCTTAACAAATACTAATTAATTGAAATAAAAAAACCGTCCCTATCGTTACAATTTTTTTTGCAATACAATTATATATTTAAACATCCAATTTAATATAGTATTATTTTAAAAATCAATCGTTACCAATGCAATACAATAATGTCTATAAATCAAATACAATATTATAGCATTGATTTATATATCCAATATAATATTTATACATCCACACTATTACATACTTGTTTTGTTTCAGCTTCTCATTTTCCTCACTAACAGACCTTAGTTGGTTTCTGAGATGTTCCAATCTGAATTATTAGAATGTACATAAATGTGTTAAGATAAATAATTTCAATACAAAAACTGATTTGTAATGTCATAAAATTAAACTTCACTTATTACTACTACCAGTAAGTTCATCCCAAAAAACTGTTGCAACAAACCCTCCCTGCCAGGTAACTGCATTAGGTTTTCGTCAATGGAGCGGGCCACTCCGGTCATCCTGCTCCTTATCTTCCAACTAAGAGCCGGTATTGAACCTAACTACCACCCTCAACAAAATTATAATTTGATCAGGCAGACTGTCATTGTTAATGTGTTTATACCTATGAAGATGATGTAAGAGGAAATTGTTAAAAGTTTATCCACACAATACGTCAGTAGCTTTACATAATACAATCCGTCCAGAATTTGGATCAACATTCAATCAATCCTCGTTTTGCAACCAGAGTCCTGGTTCCACGAGGTAGGACGTTGTTTTCTTTGCCATCAACTTTTTGCGCCAAATGAGACGATCAGTTGTGTCCATTTTATTTAAATTTATAGCTTTCATGTCTTGTTCGATTGTTTGCGACCAGGACTTCTTTGGACGGCCTTTGGGACGTGTGCCAGATACTTCAACATCTGCAAGAAAAGTTATGGCACTGTTTCTACTTCGTTTGACATGACCAGAGCACCGCAGACGGTGTTGCCGGTATTCTTCCTTTATATCATCTAAACCAGCACGACGCAGGATTTCGGTGGATTTGATGTGGTCCTTCAGACTAATTCGTTGCATCCATCGGAGCATTTTCATGTCGGTTCGTTGAAGTTGTTGTTCCAGTTTGGTTCTCATTGGCCATGTTTCTGCACCATATAACAACACCGGACTTATCACAGATTTATAAAGTCTTGATAGTAGTGGTAGTGGGATGTCACGCCGCATCAATATAGAGGCAAGGAGATGCCATTTATTCCAGGCTGCACGTATGCGTGCTCGAACGGCAGCTTCAGCTGTTCCAGTACAATCCAGAACATCCCCTAGAATTGAAACGATGTGACTTTCTCTACCTTAATAGCTTCAAAAACATTGCTATTTCGAATTTGTTGTTGTGGATTGATGCAAGCAGGACAAACAAAATTGGACACTTTAGATAAAGTACTAATTTTTTTTTAACAACGTTTGTGACACCACTGGTTACACTGCTGAAACTTGATTGAATTGTTACCTACACCAGCTTTACAAACTGAACAGGGCCATCGTCCAGTACCTGTGGATTGGATGGGTTCACCAGTGTTCATTGCTTTGGTTTTGCTGATGTTGACTTTGAATCCATGATTGGCGAGTCTGGTGTTCCAATCTTCAAACATCTGTGCTGCAATCTGCTCAGACGTGGCTGTTAAAACGATATCATCAGCATATATTAGATTCCAAATGTCAACACTGCGTATCGGTTTTGTGATTTCTTCCATCACAGTTATAAATAACAGTGGACTGAGAATCGAGCCTTGGTAAATTCCATCGCCGATGTCAAATGCATCTGTGTTTCCAACCATAGTGCTGACGAGAGTCTTAGTATTCGTATACATTTCTATCACAAGTCGAACAAGATATCCAGGAATTAGTTGTCGACGTAGACTCCACCTGATTGCTTCACGGGAAACTCGATCAAATGCTTTTTCAAGGTCTACAAAAATGTGTGATAGTTGTTGATGCTTTGCCAGGTACTTCTCTTGCAGTTGCCGAAGAATGTGAATTGCATCAATTGTTGAATTCCCCGCTAGGAAACCTAATTTATAATTTCCGATTGTGATTCACGACGTTAATCTTCTCTCAATGATTTTCTCGACAATTTTCAGGGAGTTTTCTAATAGACGTATACCCCGATATGATGAACAGTTCAATGGATCACCTTTGCCTTTGTATAACGGAACTTTCATGCTATAGTTCCATTCAGTCGGCATTGAGCAATTTCTCCAGATTTCACGGCAAAATTGTAGTAACGTTTGGATACCTGCAGTACCAGATGCTTTGATAATGTCATTTGTGAGTCCCGAGGGCTCTGCTGCCTTTCCATCCTTCATAGCTTTCAGAGCTTCTGTAAGCTCCTCTACAGTGATGTCCGAAATCGGACCTTCGATGGGTGGAGCGTCAAAGCTAACATTGATGGGATTTGTTTCGTTTAACAGACCGTTGAAGTATTCTCTCCACTGTAGCTTGATCTCATCATGTTCAAGAACCATCTCATTTTTGTCGTTTTTGATACATGAGGCACCAACTATGTCTTGTTACGTACGCTTTGCTTGTTTTGCTATACGATACAGAGATTTCATTTGTTCACCTTTGCTTTTAGTGAGCCACTCTTTGCACTTATCTGTCCGAGCCAGTGCAACTTGACGTTTTGCATAGTTGTTCTTCTCTGGGAAAACTTTATGGTCATCAACAGACTTTGATTTTTGCCATTGCTTGTATGCAACTTTCTTTTCAACTATTGCATTTTGTACACTGTCATTTCACCCCCTTAGTGTCCCGTTCATGACGTTTTCGAATAGCTTTCGGTGTTGTTGCTTGACAGCGAAGAAATCAATTTGCGTGGCTGATGGTCCACTTTTGTATGTTATGAGATGTTCCAACCTCTTTCTAAAATATGTGTTCAATAAACAAAACCCGTGACTGTCAGTAAACTCAAGGATGCGATTGCCATCTTCATTCCGTTTTCCATAGGCAAAACCGCCATGTACGTTGTCAAAACCATCTGTTTTCTCTCCAACGTGGCCATTGAGATCGCCTCTAATCAGGATTGTTTCAGATTTTGGTATTGTTGAGATGATGTCGGAGAACGCAGCCCAGAAGTCATTTTTCATTTCTTCTGATTCGCCTGTCTGTGGTGCATATGCAGAAAAAATAATCATTGTTTGCTTTTCTATGCGAAGCTTGATCCACATGAGACGTGAATTAATCCTTTTAATATCCAGTACCTCTTGAGCTAGCGGTTCTCTGACAAAAATTCCAACACTATTTTTGGCCGTCTTTGGACCATTCCTGAATAGTTTATATTTTTCTTTGTCTGAGTTGACATGACAGACACCATTGGATTTCTATCGGGTTTCCTGAAGGCAGCAGATGTCAATCCTGCTCTGAAATCATGTCAATCAAATTTGGATCAACACTATCAATCTTAAATTCTATCAAATTATTCGGTTTTACATTCCACAAGTATTTCACTTTCGATAAAAAGAAATAATTTTTATCTTGCAACTACCGTAAAATAATTTAGACATCTGGTCCCAACCAATGTTGATTTACTCTTGGTGGATGCCTGATCTTATGAACAGCAGACAATTGTAATTCAATCTTATAAAAAACAAAGCCTCCCAAAAAAATATCGCTTATTCAAAATAAAACCGCAGAGCTAACCCTCAAAAAATCTCCTCACTCCAGCTCTTCAGTTTACCTTCTAGTATTTCATAGGGCGGTGTGCTTGATAAAGTCACCTTGTGCTGTTTTGCAGAGTGTACAGAGATTGCGTTCGATGATGACAAAAAGATCCCCGCCTACCACATCCATTGCGAGTGATGTGTCGTTTAGCACGTATTCATATACGCTGTTTATGTTTGTTGATTCCTCTGAACTGAATCTAAAAAGATTGCTTGACCTTTTAACCCGCGAGCTGCAGTTTCCTTCATTCACACCAAATGTTACCGATGTGAGACAAAACTCTTAGCTGAGTCTTTAAAAAAAAGACTAAAGACTGTGTGTGTCAGTGTGCACATGAGTCTGGGCGCCTCTAAAGCAGCGGTGCGAATGGCGCTATATAAATGATTATATTGTTATAATTAAAATCTTCAACACAATTATCAGGGACTCTTTTGTACAAATGTTAATACATACTGATTGCTCAACTTTTCCTGAATGTTATTGTAAGCATCCACCAATTTAACGACCTCTCCCTTCCAATGTTTTTCAACTTTGTCCAGGTCATTTTCATGGGCGACATGGAGTTGGTGCATCTCTGTGCGGTGTTCATCAGCCAACTTTTTTCTCACATCTGACAACTATAATTAAAAATAATTAAATTAACAAATGAACATTCAAATCGTGTTAATTAAAAAATAGTTAATCATTAGATTAAAAAATGAAAAAATCATCAATTCTGATCAAATTTTTATATTGACAAAAATTTCATTATAAAAAACAATTTTATAAAGTTTGATTGACCAAAGACATTTTAGCTTTGGAAAATGCTTAACATAAACCTAATTGCGTTAACTGACGAATGTAAATATTGCAACAAACAGAAACAGGGCTTCCAGAGCGCATTTTCATCTGTGGCACCTCCCGTAATCAAGTTTTATCTTTTTAACTTTATAACATTTATCTTTCTTTATCTTTATGTTATTTAGCTTTCATAAACTGTTCATCACCTTGTTGACCCTTTTTAATAAGTTCATCTCCATCTTTTTACACCTGCATATAATTTGCATGGAGGTTTATCAGTTTAAATTACCAGGCTGAATTCTTTTTTTTTGCAACTTAACGACGTTTCAGACTTCCTGAATTCTATTCTGGAAGGGCAATTCTACATTTGACGGAACCCCGAGTTTTCTCTGATCTGATCGTATTTTTCATATTTAGTTAATATATGCTGAATAGATAGTTTTTGTCGCAGGCTTCACAATAAGGTGGTTTGTTTTGTTGGGGATCTAAGAATGTGTGATTGCTGAGTGTCCTATTTTTAATCTATTGATAACAGACTTAAATGACGATCTAAATAACTATTTTTGAACTTTTTGTTATTTACTGATGGCATACTTAATTTTAAAAAAATTTGATGTTTTATTCCACACCTGCTGTCATTTTTCAACAATAAGGATGTTTAATTCTTTAAATCAATGGACGGAATTGGAACTCTAGATAATGACATCGAATGAGCTTGAGAAGCCATCTGATCCACCTTTTCATTTCCTTCATTTCCAATGTTGCTGAGAATCCACATTATAATTAAATTTTTGTTGCTATCCAAAACACTATGAATCTTATTTTGCATTTGAATTATTAATGGACTTAAAAGTTTGTATTGTATCAAGGCTGATAAAGTAGACAAAGAATTCGAAAATATTATGAATTTATTTTTCTCTGAATTAATAATGAAGTTTAAAGCCATGTCTATAGTAAGGATCTCTGCCGTGTATATTAAAGCAGCTCCTTGTAGGTGCATCATTAATCCATGAATACGTTTCTTTTGCCAGTAGACCACCATTACTATAGACGTTGAATTTTCCCTTTTTGATCCATCCGTATATATTTGAACAAAGTTTAAATTGTTATTAATTTTTTTTAACTAAGGTTTTTGCTATTTTTACATTCCTGTTATTGACGTATCAATTTCTGGGTGCTTTAGTAACCAATGAGGAATTAAAGTAAAGAAAGTTAATTTAAGGCTAATTTTTGGTGTTTTAAACTTATTGGCATTTCTCCTGCCAAAACATGGAGACTTATGGATGTGATGCTCTGTATGCTCCTGGAACCTTCGTTGACTATTGGGTGTAGAATCTTCATGTAGGATTTTCGTGTAGAGCCATATACTAGAGAACCATAATCTAATACTCCTCGTATAGTTGCTTGGAAAATTGTTATAATATATATATAATTTAATTTTGAGTCAAATTTTATTCCTAAATATTTGTATTCTTGTGAAAACTCAAGATTATTTCCTTGAAAATTTAACTTCGGAAAAATCCTCTTTTGGTTTCTTGAGAAAAGTATAGCTCTAGACTTTGATTCAGAAAATTTTATTCCATTTTTCAGTGCCCTTTTTTCAATGGATTTTAGCGTTGTTTATTTCATTCTGCATTTTTATCATGTCTTTATTTCTAAAAGTGATTGTGACATCATCTAT